CCATTACATACCATGGTGTAGGTGTCTCATACCATTACAAACACCTCGAGTCTTCTTGAACAAGACTTAGATATTTTCCTGGTTGTTGTCAGGATTGTAGTGCTGTGGGTAAGCTTGACAAGCTTTGCTCCTACATCCAATAAGATTGATTGTAGTTCTGTGGGTAAGCTTGACAAGCTTTGCTCCTACATCCAACAAAATTCCAGCTCTAGGAACATATCAGTTTTCTCGTTCAGGACAAAAATTCGTTGTTTCATGTGTCGTAATTAACCATAAGCTTAACTCGAGGCTTATTCTTCTTTGCGATAACAATTTATACTTATTTTACATTTTTTTTGTAAAGAATAGTCAGTAATGTTAGTTTACAAGGTTGCTGTGATGGTAGGGATAATGCACACTCCAGTGCATATTAAACGATAACATTATATTTAGCATGATTTTCTGATTTTCTGAAGCTCACAGTAAATATCTTTCTAAATTAAAATTAAAATAAACTAACTTGAAAAAAATCATGCACTAGAACAAACTTTATTCTGGTGTCAATTAATTTTTCAACACACTTGAACAATTTATAAATAAATAAGTCAGATAAGCAGTGTTTGAATAAGTTATCAACCTAATAACTACATAAAAGAAAATATTTTGTTTATTTCTTAAGATAAGTCCAAATCTTAGCCCCAGATTCTTGGAATTTTGTACATTTTTATTTGTCAGTCCAGGTTATAGCAAGATGTGATCACCTTAGTGTTGTTTCAGCAGTTATGGTGAACTGTTGAAAGAGAGTAGCTTACTTTAATACATCTCTGTGTCGATAGATGTCTGTGTGGATAAATCTCTGTGTGGATAGATCTGTGTGTGGATAGATCTGTATGTGGATAGGTCTCTGTGTGGATAGATCTGTGTATGGATAGGTCTCTGTGTGGATAGATCTGTGTATGGATAGGTCTCTGTGTGGATAGATCTGTGTATGGATAGGTCTCTGTGTGGATAGATCTGTGTATGGATAGGTCTCTGTGTGGATAGATCTGTGTGTGGATAGGTCTCTATGTGGATAGGTCTCTGTGTGGATAGATCTGTGTATGGATAGGTCTCTGTGTGGATAGATCTGTGTATGGATAGGCCTCTGTGTGGATAGATCTGTGTGTGGATAGGTCTCTGTGTGGATAGATCTGTGTATGGATAGGTCTCTGTGTGGATAGATCTGTGTATGGATAGGTCTCTGTGTGGATAGATCTGTGTATGGATAGGTCTCTGTGTGGATAGATCTGTGTGTAGATAGGTCTCTATGTGGATAGGTCTCTGTGTGGATAGGTCTCTGTGTGGATAGATCTGTGTATGAATAGGTCTCTGTGTGGATAGATCTGTGTGTGGATAGGTCTCTATATGGATAGGTCTCTGTGTGGATAGATCTGTGTGTGGATAGGTCTCTATGTGGATAGGTCTCTGTGTGGATAGGTCTCTTATATATGTGGATGTCGAATCAAGTTGACATACTTCATATAAATTTTGGTAATCACTCGAGATTCTTCATTCAACCTTGGCAGCCACTTTTCTGACTGCCACTTTTCTGACTGCCACTTCTGTGACTGCCACTTCTCTGACTGCCACTTCTCTGACTACCACTTCTCTGACTGCCACTTTTCTGACTACCACTTCTCTGACTACCACTTCTCTGACTGCCACTTCTCTGACTACCACTTCTCTGACTGCCACTTCTCTGACTGCCACTTCTCTGACTACCACTTCTCTGACTACACTTCTCTGACTGCCACTTCTCTGACTGCCACTTCTCTGACTGCCACTTCTCTGACTACCACTTCTCTGACTACCACTTCTCTGACTACCACTTCTCTGACTACCACTTCTCTGACTGCCACTTCTCTGACTGCCACTTCTCTGACTACCACTTCTCTGACTGCCACTTCTCTGACTGCCACTTCTCTGACTGCCACTTCTCTGACTGCCACTTCTCTGACTGCACTTCTCTGACTACCACTTCTCTGACTACCACTTCTCTGACTGCCACTTCTCTGACTGCCACTTCTCTGACTGCCACTTCTCTGACTGCCACTTCTCTGACTGCCACTTCTCTGACTACCACTTCTCTGACTGCCACTTCTCTGACTGCCACTTCTCTGACTGCCACTTCTCTGACTGCCACTTCTCTGACTGCCACTTCTCTGACTGCCACTTCTCTGACTACCACTTCTCTGACTACACTTCTCTGACTGCCACTTCTCTGACTGCCACTTCTCTGACTACCACTTCTCTGACTACCACTTCTCTGACTGCCACTTCTCTGACTGCCACTTCTCTGACTGCACTTCTCTGACTGCCACTTCTCTGACTACCACTTCTCTGACTACCACTTCTCTGACTACCACTTCTCTGACTGCCACTTCTCTGACTGCCACTTCTCTGACTACCACTTCTCTGACTACCACTTCTCTGACTACCACTTCTCTGACTACCACTTCTCTGACTACCACTTCTCTGACTGCCACTTCTCTGACTGCCACTTCTCTGACTGCCACTTCTCTGACTGCCACTTCTCTGACTACCACTTCTCTGACTACCACTTCTCTGACTGCCACTTCTCTGACTGCCACTTCTCTGACTACCACTTCTCTGACTACCACTTCTCTGACTGCCACTTCTCTGACTGCCACTTCTCTGACTGCCACTTCTCTGACTGCCACTTCTCTGACTACCACTTCTCTGACTACCACTTCTCTGACTGCCACTTCTCTGACTGCCACTTCTCTGACTGCCACTTCTCTGACTGCCACTTCTCTGACTGCCACTTCTCTGACTACCACTTCTCTGACTACCACTTCTCTGACTGCCACTTCTCTGACTGCCACTTCTCTGACTGCCACTTCTCTGACTGCCACTTTTCTGACTGCCACTTCTCTGACTGCCACTTCTCTGACTGCCACTTCTCTGACTGCCACTTCTCTGACTGCCACTTCTCTGACTACCACTTCTCTGACTGCCACTTCTCTGACTACCACTTCTCTGACTGTCACTTCTCTGACTGCCACTTCTCTGACTGCCACTTCTCTGACTGCCACTTCTCTGACTGCCACTTTTCTGACTACCACTTCTCTGACTACCACTTCTCTGACTGCCACTTTTCTGACTGCCACTTCTCTGACTGCCACTTCTCTGACTGCCACTTCTCTGACTACCACTTCTCTGACTACCACTTCTCTGACTACCACTTCTCTGACTACCACTTCTCTGACTACCACTTCTCTGACTGCCACTTCTCTGACTGCCACTTCTCTGACTGCCACTTCTCTGACTGCCACTTTTCTGACTACCACTTCTCTGACTACCACTTCTCTGACTACCACTTTTCTGACTGCCACTTCTCTGACTGCCACTTCTCTGACTGCCATTCTCTGACTGCCACTTCTCTGACTACCACTTCTCTGACTACCACTTCTCTGACTACCACTTTTCTGACTGCCACTTCTCTGACTGCCACTTCTCTGACTGCCACTTCTCTGACTACCACTTCTCTGACTGCACTTTTCTGACTGCCACTTCTCTGACTGCCACTTCTCTGACTACCACTTTTCTGACTGCCACTTCTCTGACTGCCACTTCTCTGACTGCCACTTCTCTGACTACCACTTCTCTGACTGCCACTTTTCTGACTGCCACTTCTCTGACTGCCACTTCTCTGACTGCCACAACCACAACATTATGATATATAAAACGCAACAAATCTTTCCATTCAAGATACTCCAATTAAGTTTCTCTTATAACATCTATTAGTTTGTCAGCATTGTTCCTAGATTGTTTCTCCGTTCTTGTTAGCTCCACTAACATGTATTTCATGGTATCGTCTGTAATTACTTCATAGTAAATCTTCTTCTTGGCAAAAGTGACTCGCGGAGTGATGTTTTTGCAGCTGGTAGGATCAGATCTCAATGATACCGAGTTTTTCTTCCGAGGTGAATCCTGTTGTAAGTTATTTACGCAAAATAGATCATCATTTATCACTATATTGTGCACGCTGTGTTGTGTACATTATGTCACTTCAAATAGCACTTTATCAACAGTTTACAATAACTAATGTGACTGTCGTGATAAAATGTAATAACTCACCCCGTTAAAAAATGTAGTTCGAAAGAGTTTATTAGTAACACATTTGTTAATTGAGCAACATTTAACACGCATTTATATCACATAGGAGAGTGTCATCATCGAATCCTCTTATGACCAGGTGGCACTTTGGTGTACTTGTCCAGCAGTTCTTGTGACCAGGTGGCACTAGTGTGCTTGTCGAGCTGGTCTTGTAACCAGGTGGCACTCTGGTGTACTTGTCGAGCTGGTCTTGTGACCAGGTGGCACTCTGGTGTACTCATCGAGCTGGTTTTGTGACCAGGTGGCACTCTGGTGTACTTGTCGAGCTGCTCTTGTGACCAGGTGGCACTCTGGTGTACTTGTTGAGCTGGTCTTGTGACCAGGTGGCACTCTGGTGTACTTGTCGAGCTGGTCTTGTGACCAGGTGGCACTCTGGTGTACTTGTCGAGCTGGTCTTGTGACCAAGTGGCACTCTGGTGTACTTGTCGAGCTGGTCTTGTGACCAGGTGACACTCTGGTGTACGTGTCGAGCTGGTCTTGTGACCAGGTGGCACTCTGGTGTACTTGTTGAGCTGGTCTTGTGACCAGGTGGCACTGGTGTACTTGTCGAGCTGGTCTTGTGACCAGGTAGCACTCTGGTGTACTTGTTGAGCTGGTCTTGCGACCAGGTGGCACTCTGGTGTACTTGTCGAGCTGGTCTTGTGACCAGGTGGCACTCTGGTGTACTTGTCGAGCTGGTCTTGTGACCAGGTGGCACTCTGGTGTACTTGTCGAGCTGGTCTTGTGACCAGGTGGTACTCTGGTGTACTTGTCGAGCTGGTCTTGTGACCAGGTGGCACTCTGGTGTACTTGTCGAGCTGGTCTTGTGACCAGGTGGCACTCTGGTGTATAATATTGTCCCATGAACAGAACTTTCACTTCTGAATTTCATCATAAGGTAAATCTCTATTATTGTCTGTGTATCCAGCCACAGTTTAATTTTTTTATGTGTCTATTGACAATATCGTGAGGATAGTCACCCAGCCATCTAGGAACTAAGTAAGCCAGACAACCGGCCGGCAAGAGGGCCAGCTGGCGAGACAAGTGTCATTCAGAATGCCTGTCAGCTGGTCACTGGATCAGACAACTGGTCGAGCAGCTGGTCGACCGGTCATCTCAGAATGCCTGTCAATCGGTCACTTATTCTGACCTTCAAGGTTTGCAAGAAGCAAATATGCCTCTAATTCAACATCACTGGATCAGACAACTGGTCGAGCAGATGGACGACCAGTCATCTTACACTGCCTCAGCAAGTCAGTCTATCTTCCAGTCAACATTCAACTTCCACATTAGACTTCTTGTGTCAATGTTTTTATAGTTGTTGACAGTGCTTATTAGTTCGTTACAATATATAGAAGAGTGCTGTTGCCTGCCACACACAGCCTCCATCACCACTACTGTCACTGCTGCTGCTATCTGCCACTCAGCCTCCATCACCACCACTGTCACTGCTGCTGCTGTGTGCCTCACACAGCCTCCATCACCATCACTGTCACTGCTGCTGCTGTCTGCCACACAGCCTCCATCACCATCACTGTCACTGCTGCTGCTGTCTGCCACACACAGCCTCCATCACCACCACTGTCACTGCTCCTACTGTCTGCCACACACAGCCTCCATCACCACCACTGTCACTGCTGTTGCTGTCTGCCACATACAGCTTCCCTCACCACAACTGTTGCCTGCTCTTGCTGCCGCCCTCATCACCACGGTCGCCTGCTACTCGCCTACGTCACTGCACACCCTTGCTCGCCTCTCTTAAAGATCTGAAACTGACGTGAGAAATTATGGTTACACATAATTGGACAGTGATTATTTCCTTGGCTTATGTTAAGTTTAGCGGCTCCACTTTCAAGTTAACGATATCTTATTCTGTAAATTAACTAATACCAAGTAGGATGAACAAGGAATACAGTTATATTTTGGGTCTATGGGAAAAAAGAGTTTTGGTACCGACAATAAGTAATAACTCAACCTAGGCTAGCCTAACCTAGATTAGGAGTTAAATTTTAGGCTAATATAAGTTGGGTTAGGTTCGATTACTAAAAAAGCTTTCTCTTCATGGGCCCAAAGTATAACTGTTTCCATTGTACTACTCACTTAATATTAGAGAATTTTCATAATTATATGTAGCGACTAAACTCAATATTTAATATATTTTGATATTTGTGTTATAAATATTTACACATACACGGGTGAGTGTCTTATATCTAACACACAAGAAGTGACAAAACCCATCACGTTCTACTGCAGAATGAGACACTTGTAAAACGTTTGGGAATCTTTAATGAGGAAACGTTTCGCCAGCCAGTGACCTCTTCAGTCTAATACAGAGAAAAACCGTGGAAATGTTTAACGCCTTCCCATAAAAATAATTATAATAATAATAAGACGATGATGATGATTTAAGTCTGGATAGACTAACCTTGTTACAGAGTGTTGTGGGTGTGAGCAGTGTTGAGGTGAACGTCAGTAACACTAGCAGTGTTGAGGGTTGGATCATCTCTGCTAGAGAGTGTATGGCTGCCGGAGTCTCCCCTCCTGTGGGACCAAGGTTATGAACACCTAAGTACCCCCAGTATACAGGAATATATATATATATATATATAATATTATATATATATATATTTATATTATATATATATATATATATATATATATATATATATATATATATATATATATATATATATATATATATATATTACATAATATAGTCACAAAATACATTGCTGTTACAAAGATAGGATGTACAGTACATGAGGTTTGAGGGATACATTTCAAGCACATATTGTTACGTGTTTGTCACAGATTACAATTCAAAAATCTCATCCAGCTCCTCAGAGCATGGGCGCTAATGTACATATATTATTCACACAAGGGCCAGGAGCTAAGAATCGATACTTGCAACAATAATTACGTGAGTAAACACACACACACACACACACAGGAGGCAGGACCCATACATAGCTTTAAGAAGAGGTATGATAAAGCTCATGGAGAAGGGAGAGTGACCTAGTAGCAACCAGTGAAGAGGAGGGGCCAGGAGTTGTGACTCGACCCCTGGAATCTCAATTAGGTGAGTACACACACACACACACACACACACACACACACACACACACACACACACACACACACACACACACACACACACACACATGAGAACGTAGAATAAAAAATGGTGGACTTGAGAATACGTATTTTGCTCTATATACACAACGTCTACCATCACCTTCATATATTCTAAATTATTTTTCATATTTTTTACACCGTTCAATTTCGACTTTTTATCCTGCCATTGTCCATTACAAAGACTATCACTAAGACTCACGAATTCGTAATGACACGATTGCAAACAAACTATACCACGGGCGGGGATAGAACCCTCAATCAGAGAGTCATGAAACTCCAGACCGATGCGCTAGCCACTGGACCAGCTAGCTGCAACAAGATTCGTCCAACTAGGTATATTTATACATCATGCGTAGGTCTAGAGTTTTATGACTGATCGAGGGTTCTATCCTCTGCCTTGGTATGGTTTATCACTAAGATATTTTACCACCCCCAGGATGTGACCTGCAACACTCGACTAATTACTAGGTGCTTATTTTATACCAGGTGAACAGGGGCATCAGGTCTAGAAAAACACATGCCTAACGTCTTCACCCGCTTCAGGATCGAATCCGGGTGTTTTGGTTGCGATGCCGGGGTCTTATCCCTCAACCACTAGTATTAAACACCTTTAAAATCTCTTACACTATCTTCTGTGGCTTGTAATTTGAAAGTGACAATAACTTCTGTCATTTTCAAACAGCGTTTGTGACATTTTTTATGATAGAAGATTTACCAGACCTAGCGGTGGATAAGGGCCTGATCAACCAGGTTGTTACTGCTGGCCGCACGTAGTTCACCTTACGGATCACAGTTCGGCTGCTCAGGTATCTGTCCAGGTCCCTCTTGAAGATAGCCAAGGGTCTATTGGTAATCTCACTTAGGTATGCTGGGAGGCAGTTGGAGAGTCTTGGACCCATGACACTTATTGTTGCAAGACTGTATAAAGCTAGTAGTAATATTAACTTACCTACTTCTGTGACTCTAATAAACTCCGAGGTAAACAATTCTATTATCATGTATATTTTACGTCTCAAAAATTTGTTCATCAAGAAGCCTAAAGAAGACAGTCAGAATACCAGCGGCCTTTCATCATAGTGTGGTGGAGCAGATCACTCTTCACTGTAAACAATAATGAAAATAACACCGCGGTGGCACTGTTTGACTGTCCGCTGTAAACAATTATAAAATAAAACTTCAAATCTTTCACTAAAAAGAGTTGAGTGTCAGGTGTATTGTTCATGTTTCAGTCAGGGAGATAAGACAGAGGCTGCGTTGCCACACTGTATATACAGGCACTGGTATAATGTTGGTACAGTGATATACTGGTGCTGGGGATATGTTGGTGTTGATAACATGATGTTGCTGGGGTGTAGTTATGTTGGTGTTGATAACATGATGTTGCTGGGGTGTAGTTATGTTGGTGCTGATAACATGATGTTGCTGGGGTGTAGTTATGTTGGTGTTGATAACATGATGTTGCTGGGGTGTAGTTATGTTGGTGCTGATAACATGATGTTGCTGGGGTATAGTTATGTTGGTGCTGATAACATGATGTTGCTGGGGTGTAGTTATGTTGGTGTTGATAACATGATGTTGCTGGGGTGTAGTTATGTTGGTGTTGATAACATGATGTTGCTGGGGTGTAGTTATGTTGGTGTGATAACATGATGTTGCTGGGTGTAGTTATGTTGTTGTTGATAACATGATGTTGCTGGGGTGTAGTTATGTTGGTGTTGATAACATGATGTTGCTGGGGTGTAGTTATGTTGGTGCTGATAACATGATGTTGTTGGGGTGTAGTTATGTTGGTGCTGATAACATGATTTTGCTGGGGTGTAGTTATGTTGGTGTTGATAACATGATGTTGCTGGGGTGTAGTTATGTTGGTGCTGATAACATGATGTTGGTGGGGTGTAGTTATGTTGGTGCTGATAACATGGTGTTGTTGGGGTGTAGTTATGTTGGTGCTGATAACATGATGCTGCTGGGGTGTAGTTATGTTGGTGTTGATAACATGATGTTGCTGGGGTGTAGTTATGTTGCTGATAACATGATGTTGCTGGGGTGTAATTATGTTGGTGCTGATAACATGATGTTGCTGGGGTGTAGTTATGTTGGTGTTAATAACTTGATTTGGTTGCTGGGGTGTGAGTTTGTTGGGTGCTGATAACATGATGTTGTGGGGTGTAGTTATGTTGGTGCTGATAACATGATGTTGCTGGGGGTGTAATTATGTTGGTGCTGATAACATGATGTTGCTGGGGTGTAGTTATGTTGGTGCTGATAACCTGATGTTGCTGGGGTGTAGTTATGTTGCTGATAACATGATTTTTGCTGGGGTGTAGTTATGTTGGTGCTGATAACAAGATGTTGTTGGGGTGTAGTTATGTTGGTGTTGATAACATGATGTTGCTGGAGTGTAGTTATGTTGGTGCTGATAACATGATGTTGTTGGGGTGTAGTTATGTTGGTGCTGATAACATGATGTTGTTGGGGTGTAGTTATGTTGGTGTTGATAACATGATGTTGTTGGGGTGTAGTTATGTTGCTGTTGATAACATGATGTTGTTGGGGTGTAGTTATGTTGGTGTTGATAACATGATGTTGCTGGGGTGTAGTTATGTTGGTGCTGATAACATGATGTTGCTGGGGGTGTAGTTATGTTGGTGCTGACCACAGATGTTGCTGGGGTGTAGTTATGTTGGTGCTGACCACAGATGTTGCTGGGGTGTAGATATGCAGGTGCTGACCACAGATGTCACCTGCATAAATTGCAAAACCCTTCACCAACAGGCTAAGAGAGGGATCTCTGTAAGAACTCTACGCCTCTCTCTTTCCTCTCGTAAAACTTGAATAGGTAATTATTAATATATAATAACATATAAAAATCACCAGAAATTCGTTTCAAATACTTACAGTCAGTTGTGACTGAACTATATGATTCGTACTGTGTACTTGTAAGCCTATGATAGCTGGTGCCCAGGACACCTGTCATTCACTGAACGAGGTTGATTAAACTTTGTGTTCCATCTCTCATACTAGGCTGATACTCAACACCCGTGTGTGCTGGGTGGGTGTTTACCCTTGCCCTTCAACACGTGTGTTTGTGCTAGGTGTTGTAATACCTTCAACACCTGTGATTGTGCTGGCTGTTGTGACACCTTCAACACGTTTGTTTGTGCTGTTAAAATGACACTTACCCTTCAACACGTGTATAGAGATGTGTGCTGGCTGGGTGTTGGACGGGGAACATGTGTAGTTTCCTGAGTCTGATGGCCTAACATTGTCAAGGGACAAGACACTCACACCACCACTGGTCTCCACTCGTACCTGTCAACACAACACACCAAATATCTAAAGACAGCATAAGTTGTGGTAATGAGGATAGTAATGGTAATAGTATTGATAGTAGTAAATATAGTGGTAGAGACGGTGACGTTAACGTGTGGTAGTAACAATAACAGAATGATGGTGGTATTAACGGTGCTAGTAGCACCAGTGGTAACAGTTCTTTATTATAAAAGTAATAGTAATAGTAATAGTAATAGAGGTTATAACCCTACTGGGTGTAGCATAAATAACATTATATTAATATTAGTAGTAGAAGAGTTTGATCGTTGTAGTTTTATTTGTAGTAACAGCATCACCATAAACAGCAGCTGGTAGGAGAGAGACAGAGACGAAGAGGAAGGAGGGAAAGGGAGGGAGGGAGAGAAAAATGAGTAGCAGTGAGAGGGCATTAGACTAAATGAGAAGCGGGCAGCTCTTGGCCCCAAGTTAATGATCTTGCTACTAGGACATCTCAGAGTTATGCGTTGCTGAGGTGTGAGAGCCTAGCAGGAAACAAGCTTTTTGGTGGTATGGAAGCCTCCTAGGAAGCAAGCTATGTGGTGGCTTGGAAACCTCCTAGGAAGCAAGCTATGTGGTAGCATGTAAGCCTACTAGGACGTAAGGTATGTGGTGGCATGGAAGCCTCCTAGGACGTAAGCTATGTGGGGGTATGGAAGCCTCCTAGGAAGCAAGCTATGTGGTGGCTTGAAAACCTCCTAGGAAGCAAGCTATGTGGTAGCATGGAAGCCTCCTAGGACGTAAGCTATGTGGTGGCATGGAAGCCTCCTAGGGCGTAAGCTATGTGGGGGTATGGAAGCCTCCTAGGAAGCAAGCTATGTGGTGGTATAGAAGCCTAGAAAGCAAGCTATGTGGTGGTATGGAAGCCTCCTAGGAAGTAAGTTATGTAGTAGTATGGAAGCCTCCTAGGAAGCAAGCTATGTGGTGGTATGGAAGCCTCCTAGGAAGCAAGCTGTGTGGTGGCATGGAAGCCTCATAGGAAGCAAGCTATGTGGTGGTATGGAAGCCTCATAGGAAGCAAGCTGTGGTGGTATGGAAGCCTCATAGGAAGCAAGCTATGTGGTGGTATGGAAGCCTCCAAGGAAGCAAGCTATGTGGTGGTATGGAAGCCTCATAGGAAGCAAGCTGTGGTGGCATGGAAGCCTCATAGGAAGCAAGAGCTGTGGTGGTTATGAAGCCTCCTAGGAAGCAAGCTATGTGTGGTTATGGAAGCCTCCTAGGAAGCAAGCTATGTAGTGGTATGGAAGCCTCCTAGGACGCAAGCTATGTGGTGGTATGGAAGCCTCCTAGGAAGCAAGCTATGTCGTGGTATGGAAGCCTCCTAGGAAGCAAGCTATGTAGTGGTATGGAAGCCTCTAGGACGCAAGCATGTAGGTGGTATGGAAGCCTCATAGGACGCAAGCTATGTAGTGTATGGAAGCCTCCTAGGACGCAAGCTATGTAGTGGTATGGAAGCCTCCTAGGACGCAAGCTATGTAGTGGTATGGAAGCCTCCTAGGAAGCAAGCTATGTAGTGGTATGGAAGCCTCCTAGGTAGCAAGCTAAGTAGTGGTATGGAAGCCTCCTAGGACGCAAGCTATGTAGTGGTATGGAAGCCTCCTAGGACGCAAGCTATGTAGTGGTATGGAAGCCTCCTAGGAGAAGCTATGTAGTGGTATGGAAGCCTCCTAGGAGCAAGCTATGTAGTGGTATGGAAGCCTTCTAGGACGCAAGCTATGTAGTGGTATGGAAGCCTTCTAGGACGCAAGCTGTGTAGTGGTATGGAAGCCTCCTAGTAACCAAGCTATGTAGTGGTTTGGAAGCCTCCTAGGACGCAAGCTATGTAGTGGTATGGAAGCCTCCAAGGAGCAAGCTATGTGGTGGTATGGAAACCTCATAGGAAGCAAGCTATGTGGTGG